TCATCGTCCCCGTCCCCCCTCCGTCCCCTCCATTAAAAAAACGGTATCCCTCATTCTCTAGGATATTATGGTTTAGATTATTTAATACCAAATATTCACTGACACCTGTTCCTGCCAAATGGCCTTTACAGGAAATCTGTGAAAGGTATTTTAAAAGTTTGCCTCAAATATTTTATTCTATATAAAAAAAAGGTCCCAAATCATTCTATTTTTAAACGGAATTTCTTCACTGGTTTTTATTTACTTAAAAGGTTCTTGCCAAGTGAGGTATGATTTGGGAGAGAGGAAACGTTAATTAGAGATTTCAGCACATGTTCATTATTAATTCCCACATTTATTAGAGAAAAAAAAGTCTGGATTATAGGAGAAGGCTTTCTCTAGCCCAGATTTTTAGTTATTGAAGTTCAAAATAATTCAAAATAAGAATTTCCCAAAGTCTGAGAAAAACATTTAACTCTTATTCACTCATCTCTTTTGAGGATATTGTTCTAGAAGGTCCCCAAATTGATGACTAATAATGTTTACCAAGGACTAGGTTTCTTCCTAGCAAAAATTTGAAAAGCTAAAGCCCAGGTTAATGACTGAGAGCTGAATGACAAGTCACAGAAACATACAAAAGTAACTGCGATTATTTTTCATGCTCTGAGCATTGTCTCGTAACAATTAAAAGAAAATTGAAGGCAACCTAAAGTCCTCTTGCTTTAAGGCTCTGAAAGGAAGGCCCTTTTGCAGGCTTTGAAGAGGGTGTACAAATTCTCATACACACTGAGAGGCAAGCAGCAGTATATATAGCTCCTGGTTAGTAAGTTCAAAATATTGCTCTATTTGACTGAGAGGGAGATAAAAAACAAACCCAAATTGAATAAAATAGTGGCGTTTACCTAGCACCCACAGGCGTCTTCCAAGGGATCCAAATGATAACTAAGAAAATTAAATCAATTTTCAGTAAAATAAATTTCTTCTACCAAGTCTACAGCTGTGCTAGAAGAAAGAAAAAAAAAAAGGCACTGTAAACTAGAGGAAAAGGAAGACCAAGTGAAAGCCAGCAGCCTCAACCCCCACTTATTTTAAGGGAAAAGAAGAGGAGGATTTGTACACTCAGGTTAATTGACAGCAGGCTGCCAAACACTTTCACCTGCATCAGCAGCCAGAAATGAAGGTGAAGAGCCTGCAGGTGTGTGCAGACTGGTGTCATGCAAGCTTCTACCTGAAAGTGCCTCTAGGGGTCAGTGGGACAGGAGGGCTGTACTGCTCAGAAATCATGGGCAGGCAGTGACACTTTTGGGCTGGGTAGCAAGTGTAGTACGAGCTTTACTGTGTGCAGTTCCCAAAGCTCGGTGGCATATTCCGTAGGTAACCTTTTGGGGAAAGCGAGGGTGTTAGAGTCAGGCCCACTTGATGGCAGAGGATTTTGCTCTGGAAACATAATTTAACCAGACCTGGTTATGTTGGAATTATACTACTAAGTAAATGATCGCCACCAAAGTGGATGATCTCACCAGAAGATGAAGGAGCAAAACTGTGGCACATGTTGGCATACGTACTTGGGAAAAAAAGAGAAACGCTCTTCAAGCTCACCTGACTGAGAGATGTACTAGCACCTTTTCTTTGAACTCTCTTTAAAATATACTATATGAGCAAAAGTAATAGAAGTACTATCAATGCCAGGGGAATTTTTTTTAAAAACCCAACAAATTGTAACCAAGTAATCCTTCGTTAGCAGTGGAATAGCTCCTTATGACTTAATTGGTAGTAGTGCAGGAGGTTGTATGCAGGGAAGTTTCTTGCGATATCAGTGCAAGCATATAGCACTTGAACTGCTTATACCTTTCAACCCACAGAGTGAGAGCTGCATAAAAACTACTCTAGAAGTACAGCCAGACCTCACTGAGGCTTCTGCTCAGGAAATTTCTGATTCCCACTCAGGATGTGTCTGGAGGGTGATTCAAAGCTCTGTGCACCCAGTATTACTCTGTTCCCTCTCACGGGGAGGTTCTGTTGCTGAGTATTACTCTAGGGTACAGTAACCAGTGCAAGACAATAATTTCTCTAGAGAAATATTTAACATTGATAAGACATTTTCCTTTCCAACTACCAACACACCTAATGCTCACCTGAATTCATGAGGGTTAGTAACCCTGTCTCAAGTGAATGCTGCTGGATGTACAAAATTTGCTCAATGCTGACCAGGTGATTCTTCCCAAAGTGACAGTGGGCAGTGACATATACTTTGTTGTAAAAGCACCAACTGATTAAAAGTCAAGGAAAACTTGGCATCCCTGCACTGGAAAAAGGTAAGAATGAAAGAGGTACAACAATTCCTGCCCCTCTCCTTGATTAATAATGATGCTGAATAAGAGAGTGTCACTGAAATCTGTTTTCAAACTTTGAGAGAAATTGGACTTTTTGGACCTTCTAGAAAAGTCTGACCTTTTTATTGGATGGGATTGTTTGGGTTCTTTTTTTGATAGAATTATTAGATGAAGGACATCAGAAAATATCTGTTCTGCAGAGACCTGAACATCCTTCTGGAAATACTTGTTACATAGGATTATATCAGAAATGCAGCTGATATCAAGGCACAATCTGAGCTTTGTAGATACTTCCATGGCAATCATTGCTCAAATAATTGAAACCTCTACTTTCTAATTTGAGCTTTTAGTTTCTGTTTTCAGACTGTTGATAAACATGTGTTGTTGCTGTGGTATGACCAAAGTATCTATGACCTACTTGCCTGAAACCAAATCATGCTTTCTTTTAATCAGGGATGGAAGAGTCTAAGTGAAAGATAAGAGATCCCGCTGCACAACTAAAATACGTCTTTCAGAGTGATCCTATTCAGGGGAGCAGGAAAAGGACTAGATGCCTGGGCAGGGCATGCTGACCTAACACCTAAATGCTACCTTGTGAACATGGCCAGTCTCTACATGTTAGAGCCGTTGCTATCGCAATATATTTACCACATCATATACATTGCAATAAAAAAGTATATTACATTTAATTATTTTATTCACATTAAATATCATACAATATGTTAAATGTTATACTATATAGTTATATTAATATATTAAACATATTACTATTACTATCACATCCAGATGGATGGCAGAGACTATCTCTTCCTGTACATCACTTATTTATTTATAATCAGGAGCTGCTATTGAGGCAATGCTGTGGCAGAAAGTCTGTGAGCAGATAAGTTTCTTTATTGCACATGGCAGAGATATATCAGAGACCACAAATTCTTGCAGTGGATGCAAATAACAGCCTGTTCCTCATTATGAAGCAAGTTCAGGCTCATTTGATTGGACAAATGATACCAATATTAAAGATTTAGGTTTTGAGGTGGATGAGCACCACTTAATTTTTAGACACCCATTCCCAAAGTCACCTTAATGACAGAAAACTGAAAAATCAACTGCAGCAAAGTGTTAGCTCTGTTATAATGAAATCTATGAACACACTTACACTCAGAACTCAGTATTACTGAGTGCTTTACAACTTTTTAATGGGGTAGAGTAGTCTGAGCTTTGTAGAGAAAAGGCTTGCAAACTAGAGGTCATAAACGAAAACTGTTAATCTGGCCATCCCAAGCTCTTGAATATACTATCCAGGTATTCACAAGGATTGCTGTATCATGTGCATAAGAAATCCTGCCTGATGGTGGAGGTGAGGTGTTTCGTGCTGCAGCTATGTGCACTGTCTGCCCAGGGTTCCAGAGGCTTATTCCCTTGAGACAGCACTGCCTGCTGACAGATCCCTCTGCTTTCTACGCTGTTCTTTTGTCCTCTACACATTTCCGCTCCCTATAAAACTTGCCTTCAACATACTTTACCATTTTTTGCTACTCCCCTCTATCAACCAAAAGATACAGATATATCTAAGATTTCTTTCTCTGGACTTGCGAGCAATCACTCTCTTCAGTGCACAAGCACTCTACTGTAAGACAGGGTAGGGAAGCAGGGAGCACATGGGTATCACATACTTTTTGTGACTTTGACTCAGCCAGAGAAGTAAAGCACCACAAGAAACATGAATCTTTAATGAAAGGTCAGGACATTCGATAACAAGACCCAGAGTTAAGATGACGTACTAAAAATAAAAAAATAAAGGTATATTTGCATTAAATATAATTCTTTTCAATATTACAACGATAAAAAACTACCAAAGAAAAGCCTTTACTTCTGCAAGTTAACAAGAATTGTGAAGTAAACAATAATCTAAAGTAAATCTAAAAATAACAGAAAAGATCCTCATGAAGGACAACACAGGAAAACTTGCCATGTGTATTTTATGTGTTTTCTTTCTAAATTATTAAATTTCTGACTTGACTGAGATATAGAAAAAAGAGGAAAATTCATATCAGATGGAAAACGTGCATTTTAACAATCCTCCTAAAAATGAAACAACCAATAGTCTTGTTATCTGCTATCACTGTCCCATATAGAGATGAGATCTGCTGCAAGTAGACACGGGAAGTCTTGAGTGATGAGAAAGAAAAGAAACTGGAATTAGTGTTATGGGGAGTATATAGCAGATCCCCACCACCATGACTTTTATTATGTTTTTCTTTTCTTCCAAGATTGGATGCCACCTATTGTCCGGCTGAAATTTAAGTTCAAAGACACTCTCAGTACAAAATTAATGTTGGGAAACCTTTGAAAATCTCCTGTCCAGTTCGTTACTGCAAGCAAAGGCCAGTCATGCAGTGGTGCAAGACAGGTGTGGCTACATGTGTGCTACATGGGGGAAAGGCAAAATGGAGGTCCAATGTGTACTCTAGAGTTTCTATCAGTTCATCAGAATGATAGCGGACTTTGTTGTTGTCAAGCAATAGTCGACAAGTTTTCCAGTGAGAGCCATGGAATAAATGTTACTGTTGAAGGTGAGGCCTCTATATTATGAAAGAGCCCTTTTAAACAAAAGGATGCCAAGTACATAAAAGCTCACACATACTGGACAATGGATTGTCCCAACATGTTTGACCCGTAGCACAGTTGTGCTGGTACTTACAACCATCTTCACGCTTCTATCCTCCTCTTGGTAGGGCAGAAACAAAAGGAAACAACAAAATAAAGAAATAACAGGAGGATCTGGAAAAGAAAAGCAAAGCTGCCAATTCCAAACAGCCATTAGTGGACTAGTTGATAATTAAAAAAAAAAAAAGAAACAAACAAAAAAAAGAAACAAAAAAGGATTGAGACAGCCTGGTTATACAACACAGGGACTAGGCAGTGTGCAAATGATCATGTAGTAGCAGTCGATGAGGCCACACAGCAGTAAAGAGGACAAAGCAACTCATGCATCGTGTTGAGAGTGATCTCCCTTGCAACAAACAGAGGAAGTATAATTTTATACCCCAAGAAGTTCAAGAGCAGGAAAGATTACAATAGCCTTAAATGATCTTAAGGGTAAGTGAGGCCTTCACATTAACTTAGGCAGCTGGGATGCCACGTCTAGATTATGACGGGCCACATCTGCCCTCCTCAATTTTGCTCTGCTGCTAGAAAATTATCTGTGTGGCTGTAGTGCCTTACTGACCCCAGGCAGCTGAGTTGTGAAGTTTTTCTATTGCCAGTTCCTCACCTGATAAGTTAATGAACTTTAAAACCTTTTATATTGCCACACAAAATGCTGCAACACAGGGAGCAACGTCAAAATTTATGGCTGTAATATGCTAGCAGACACTGTACCTGCCCAGCTCACGATGCAAGTTTCCTTTGAAATACGTTCTGCTGATCTATTTCTTTGAATGCCAAAGAGGTCTGAAAGACAGAATTACTCTGTTGGCAGCAGGAGACCAACATGTCATTCCCTCTCCCACCAAAACCCCTTACCCTTTGCTTGTTGCATTTTGTTCCCTCTTCTATCAGTGAATTGAAGGGGGGCCTTGAGAAGACTTCAGTATGTGGTGCAGAGAACACAACTGCAGTACAAAATGTCCGGTTGCTGTTTCATTTCTCTGTCTTGCTTTTCTCTTTCAGAAAAGTCTGCAAACATTATCACAGTTTCACCAGAAAGTAAGTCATGATTCTTATTTCCTCTTTAAGAGAAAGGAACTAATCCGTATCGCTATGAATTTCTGGTTAGAGTGTTTCGTGCAGTCAAAACAAATTCTAACTCATTGCTAAACTACAGTTGCTTTCTTCCCACTTGAACAAAAGACAGTTTCTCAAGGGTCACAGTTTTCAAGGCTAGGACTGTCCAGTATTCAGCATAAAAGGGACAAAGCTGATCAAATTGTCTCCTGGTCATATACTTGACATTTCTGACATGCTTTTCAATATCCCGGTGATATATGGCTTATACTTATGAAGTGTTAGGGATCATGCTATGCCATCACTTTAACATAACCTGAAATATGGTTTTTACTCACAGTTGGTTATTGTTCATAATTATAATTGCAGAAATATATTGCAAGTTCAGAGCAGTGCTCTAATTCTGACCCTTTCTTTACTTCTGCCAGCCTTCTGCCATGCATCATTCATCAATTACACTTTCCCATGCACTTTTCCTTCCAATATCTTCATACTTCATAGAACGCCCATAGAGATAAGATTACATCATGACATGCTGTACTAAGTTACAGAATGTTTAGGTACATTAGGAAGCCAGTTGCATCAGAAAGACCTAATACTGTGGAAAAAACAAACAAACAAAGAATCAACCCCCCCCCACACACACATCAAAAAAAAACCCAGTCAAATATTTACGCTAATACAGGCTAATGTAATTTTAGATACCACTGTCGTCTCAGATGAGTCCCAAGAATCAGGAAAATACAAGATACTGCACATTATTTATGCTTCAGCATCCATGGGTCTATGTTGTCCATTCATTGTCGTGTGCATGTTTTGGTGTCTAAGGAGGTACCGTGGTAAGTCGTTTTATCATCTAACCTTTGCCTAGTATGCGTTTGATTCCACTCCTTTTCATAGCTTCATGGAAGCTGCGTTCAAAGCTCTATGAAAATCCCCTAACGATTACCCCAACTGATTGCTGAGATGTCCTTGTCAAGGGCACCAGTTAGGATAGTGAATCTTTAGGAAAATAATTTGCCCCATGTGTTGTTACCTTTCCGAGACAGGGGGGTGGAAGTAAAGTAAAAACAAATAAAGATCTCAGACTTTAGAATAGTCTGAAGTTTTTCCTTCTGTTGTGCAAATAATTAAGTTAGAAATAAATAGGAGTTTTAGCCATGCAAATGCGATCAAGGTCTATCCAGTTACATTTTCTATTCCTAGTTTTTTCCTCTAAATTATCAAATAATTACCGTATTAATCTCTCCTGCTTTACAGGAACTCTTACACAGCTGCCATGTCCTAAACCAAGAATGGAACTTGGAGTCCCTCATATCTTAATTTAAGTGATCTTTCATTTGCCTATTATAATCTCATGGAATTTTAATTTTTATTTTAGGAAAATGAAATTATTTCATCTTCCAATAAAATCTGACGTATTTGCTCATAGGCTAGCTTTAGGATTTTCTATGCCTTTTTCTCCCCACACAGTTCACCAAACACACTGATTTACTGAAACTTTTTTTTTTTTTTTTTTTTTCTCTTTCCCAGTGAAGCAAAAGAGAACTCCATTAACCCAACAGAGACAAAAAAGCCTGGTATGTTTACATCTTTTTATCATCAAAACCTGATCACGTCCTGTGTAATCACATACCAAGAATAAATCTTTGTGTAGTACAAAACGTGGCATAGGATCAGAGACAGATTTAGTGACCCTCTTGGTGGCTGGATAGCATGGCTTGCCTGGTGTGAGTTATCACCACGGCTGAGCTGAGGGAAGGAACTAAGGGTCTTAGCCACAAAGGTACCTTAGGCATCTAAATTGCTGTTAAAATGTATTAATTTATAAGTACCATTCCAGTAAGAGTTTAGGCACCTAAAGCACATCTGTTGATGTGGTTCAGACTGTGTAAGACAAAAAATGATGCACAGAGCAAGGAAAATTATTGAAAAGAAAGAATTTCTTATGTGACTAGCATGAATTCACACAGGTCTTGCAATCAGTTCTGGAGAAATTCGCTGGGCAGAAGACAGAACACAAAAGACGTGACAGGAGCTGATAGCTATCAATCACAAGGGCAGCGTTGGCACAGTTCAAAGGGCACTAAACATGTTGCAAAGCTCCCAAAGGGCAAGTTGGAGGAAAGAAAATTAAGAGCAGTATATTTTAAGTGGCTAGAAAAATGGATGTCAAAAGAGGATTTTATTAGAGATGAATTTATAGAGGAATTTGCAGATTGTGGAGGAGAAAGATTTCTTTGGAAAATAGCAAGACAAAGAGGATAAGAAGCAACAGATATGGAAATGGGAGAATGGGTGCAATGAGGAAAAGGTAGCCTGGGGTTTGGAGGTGAAAATTAGAAAGATTTCATAAACTGAAAAGGGAAAGACTTGAACAAGTGACATAGAAGAGCTCTCACAAAATGATAAATCAGTTTTGCCTTAAGTTGGCATCTTGCAAGAAAAGACATGAGAGATTGGGAAAGGACATTGAGAAAGGCAGGAGATACAAGAATGATTTTCTAACTTTATTTCAAAGATAAAATATAACATCCAGTCACCAGGTGAATCCAATTCACCAGTGCTCAAAAGCAGTTTTAAGGTGATAAAGCAACTTGAAGAAGATCTTACACACCTCTTATTTAGCAGGAGCACAGAAAACAACAAGATATGTGCAGAGCTCTACCCTGTTCTGTTTTCTGCAGGTCAGAAGTCCAGCAGTTGCCCCATCCCACACTGTCGGGACGGCTCAAGCTTCAGAAGAAAGCTCCTCACTTTACTATTGCTCCATGGCCAGCCCACTGCAGGCCTTGCACGGTAACACAATTTATGACAACGATGTTCTGAGGACAGCACCTAATGCACCTTGCAATGATCCTGTTAATCCTTCCATCCCAGTTTTACTTGAAAGCCCAGATGTCCTCACATATGCTACACTAAATCATTCTGCATCTGCAGACAGATGCGAGAGAAGGGAACTAACTGTAGAAAATGAATTCACAGAATATGCCTCCATTAATGTAAATAAATAAATGTGTCAAGGACTTCTCCAGACAACCATTTTGCATGCAGTTCCGGTTCTAGCTTCCCTCCAGGATGTTGTTCCTTTCTTTTTCGGTAAAACTTCCCTTCTGTTAAGAAGAACCTATGGATGCTCCCCTGTAATGCCAGAATTCAAAACACAGCCTGTGTTGATGAGTGTTTGTCTCTTAAATAAGAGAATAAAAACAAACAGCAAAAAGTCAGCTTTCTTATTTTCCTTTTTTTCAGGATTCTGCTTCTAGTCTGGCTTTTAGTTAGTTATGGTTTGAATATAGACAAAGGGGACAAGGGGAAGGTTTTCCTAGGGTAGAATCATGTGAAATGAATCTCTGAGGAAGGTGATACCGAGTCAGGTTAATTTCTCTCAAGCAAAAGCTAAGAATGTTTGTGGGAGAATTTTTCTCTGAGTTTCTATGAACATCCTTCCAAGGTTTCGTTTTTCATTCCATTTTACTCTATTTCCCTGCAAAGTTCTTTGAGCACCATGAATGTCTAAAGCTATTATTAACAAAAATCAAGAGAATACTTGTGTGTGCGTGCGTTTGTTTTTTTTGTGGAAGACAGGGAAGGAGAAGAGGATTGTTTTACAAACAATTCTGACAAATAACGTGTGAAAAAATACTGAAATACAGCGCACTCTGTTTTTCTCTTGGTGAGATGATTGGTTAGCTAAGTTGTTGCAGATTGCTTTCGTCCATGATGAAGCAATGGAAGTAATAAATGATCAGCAGTGACTGACTCCAGTCAAAAATCAAAAATTTTTGTTCACAAATAACTGTGTGTAACTGTGTCATGCTAAGTTTTCCTCCCAACACTGGCACAAAAAAGTGATCATGCTTCATGCACAGGTTTGCGGGAAAGAAGATAAAAAGGAGGTAAAGACCAAGGTGCCTTTTGAAGTTTGAAAAGAATACTCACACCCTTCTTCTGCGCCACTTATTCAGCTCTAACTTGGATACCATGCATCTGCTCTTGCAAAATAATGCTCTTAAAAATTACTCTTAGCAATATTTGCACCAGAGGTTTACAGCAGCAAGCAGAGAGTCTTTAACTTGGTTAAAAATTTGCACCACAGTTGAAAAGGAAGGATGTACTAGGTCTCAGGCTGCATGTAACACACTGGATGATTTGCACTCAAGTTAATGGAAAAAAATAAAGCTCTTTTATCTTCATATTTCGTCTTGTCATCATTCCAGCTAGCACCGAAGCTGTTAAACACATACACATTCACCCTGTGATTTTGATAAGCTAGATGGTTTATTATGCTTATGATACACTTGTGCTCTGCCTTCACCCCACCTTTGAACCCAGTCACGGTATCTGTGTGGATAAAAATCCATGGTAATTTTTTCTGTGCTAAGTTTCTGCGCTAAGTTATTAGTTCAGGCCATTAGACATGTTGATACTTCGGTGGGATTTTAAAATACATAAACTATCAATCCAGTAAATCATTGACAATCCTCGTTGAAAAACTGGTTAGAAAACTGTCTTCTAGAAAAAAATCAGTTTGCTGTTTTTGTTTTAGTGGGCCAATCTTCGTATGGCTAGAGACTAATTATTTTAGGTGAAGGACTGGGAAACTTGGAGCAAGTATGAATAGGTACAGAAATAGACCTTTAATTGCATTTATTGCTCAGCTGATAAAGGTACAATTATTTTCATAGACTACAAGTAGCTCTCAGAATAAGAAAAAATGTTTCTGTGAAATAGATTCTACGTCAGTAGTCTTAAACTGAAAAGCAAGGACAGTCATTCAATGGATTTTAACAAAATGAAGCTTCTCTAATTGTTTTGCATGACCTGGATACAGGTATTGCAGACAGAAGAGAAAGAATAAAAAGGCCATCCTTCCAGAGAACAAGTACATGTGAAACAATATGATTCTCAAAGATGCTTTGTAATGCTCTGCCCATGCCATAGTACATATAGGGAAGAGTCCAAAGACCCTTGGGAAGGTGAGGAGGGGTGCTGTGGGCAGGCAGGTTACCTGTTTGAATTTCTAGCCACCTCTGTGGTGCATTCATCTGGGCACGTACAGCTTTCCCTCTGCCACCCCACTGAGCTGAAAACACCAGCAGGTCTGTTCAGAGCAGCCCCAGAATGACAACTGGCAACTGGGACCTAGAATGAGACTGAACACACATGGAAGAAGTATTGCACCATCAAGAGATGCAAAGGCTAGTGAATCCTTAATGTGGTTTGTTTCACCCGTACGGCAAAGCTGAACCTTGGCTTAATGAGGTCCCCAGAGATCCGAGTTTTACTTGGAAGATGAGATTTTTTTTTTAGATAAACAGGAAGTACCTCACCACCTCACCATCAAACATGCTAGCGTAGAAAAGCGAAGCACAGGAGCCTGCAGTAGATTTATTTTTCTAAGTGAATAAGTTGAAAGACTGTGTTTTTTGAAGCAGGGAAAAAAAAAAGGCACTGACTGAAAGTATCTGCCTCTTAAGTTGCAGATAATCCATTCAGATAAAGTACAGCATCACTCAGTTTTCAAGCTGTTTGAAAGAAAAGAAAAAAGCTGCTATTTCCACCATCCACCAGCTGTAAAACTGAGCAGTGAATGGAAGGACTGTACTGTGTGATTTAAGGTGCTACATATTCGTCTCGATCATCTACTGCACCTCTCAGTAACATAATGTCACGTTTGAGACATCACACCCAACGACGCTTGGGTTGTTGAGGCTTGCTGGATGCCCTCCAGATTTTACAGAATAGCATTCCCCTGGAAGACACCAGCATGAGCACAGCAGTCTCATGATTCTTCCTGTGTGCTCAGCGTGTGACTGAAAGGAGCCAGTACTGGACTAAACCATGTAGTGAAACCACGCAATCATAACAGTGCACTAAAGGAAACAAATAGTCTGGGGATCCACTGTATGGGAGATGTACAGCAGCTGTGCAGCCTTCCTAAGACACGGTCTGAAGGCTTCCAATTTATATTACATAATTTTCTATTTCTTGTCTTTCCTTTACTATTTTTGCACCAAATATGCTATACAGGTATAGTCACACAGGAAGCTCCAAGAAGAGAAACAAAGCTGTACAGCTCTCAGTCACACCCACAAACCCACATGGAAGGAAATAGCGAAGTCTGTGGAGCTGAAGGTCTGTTAATGCCAGCAAAGCATATTGTTGCTCTTTATTGCAATCTCTTACAAGGGAGGGATGTGTAATTTGTTACTCCCTCCCGCGCAACCCGCACGGCACACGTGTCTTACAAGATTAAGTGGGATAAGTGTGCTCTTAGACAGCAGAACACATCTAGTTTCACTTTATCCAGTTATTGCCCTCCAACATTGTGTTTCCTAATAAAGATATAAAAAAAAAATAATCAGAATAGCATGAGGTTTATTCATTTGCTAGCTCTTGAGCTCCGAATGTCTGTCAGACAGAGGACTGCTTTGGGCAAACTACAAACTTTTTCATATTGCTAGATCAAGCGGCAGCTTGCCAAGCCTTGCTTCTCCCACCTACCTGTTTTGCAATACTTTCCCCCCACATCCCCACAATAGCCTGAGCCCGATTTTAGCTCATAAGGCACACAGGCTGTGAGGAGAGTGCAGAAGGGAGTGTTACGGCTAAAAGCACGTGAGAAGCAGAGCTTGCATCTTCAGGAAAAAGGCATCATCATCGTACATTGCTAAGTTTCCTGCCACTTTCTCCCTAAGAGAGTGGCTAGGGCTGTAAATTGTAGGAGCACACCCAAAACCAAAGAAATATTGTGTACAGACAACGATTGTTCCTCAGTTCACCTGAGCTGCTCCACTTAGGTCCTGCTGTACCTGCATTACCTGCACCATTAAGGCAGTGGACTCAGGAAGAAAAAGGGGCAGCACAGACAGGTTGAAACACAGGATGGTTTCGAGACTCAGCAGCCAAGCTCCACACCAAAGCCCTGCTCCCTGCACTCCAACCATTCCCAGCATTGCCAGCTTGGCTTTTTCCAACTTCCAAGCAAATGCTAACATTCCCTGGGTCTCCCTGCATCCCACATCCTCACTGGGGAACAGAGGTCACAAGGCTGGAGCTGAGTCCTGGGACCAGATCACAGCACTGGCCCGGCTGCACAGGCAGGTTGAGGGAACGGGCAAACACCCATTTCCCTGACTGGGCTGTTCCCTGTCCTGCTCCATGCACAGTGTTCCTTGTTCTGCAGTCTCCACAGCTCTGCTTCCCTATTTCATTTCACACCAACAAAATTCGTGCCAGGCAAATGGGAACCAGAGACGGGGCAGACACACCGACAGTGGCCAGGGAAGAGAGAGGAGCAGATTTCAGGGGGAGACAGAGGGCAGGGGAGGGAGACCTGAACAGGCACCTGGAGAAGTATCCCCGAGGAAGACCACCAGAGCCTAGAGGACAGGAGAGTTGGCTATGAAGCTTGAGATTAAAACAAACCCATGTCCCTCAATAAAAACAAAGCGAAGAAATTTTGTTTTTCTGTGAGTTTTAAAGGACAACTACTATTTTCCATTTAAAAAAGCCTACACTGGATCAGACCTGCTCATGTACAATTCCTCCTCGTCTAATGAAAAGGAAAATGCCTAAGAATCACAAAATCCCACATGTCCGTCCACACAGTTCAGTGGCACGTGTCAGCCACATGGATCTCTCAGTTTCACACAGGTGATCTTACCGTGTCCTTTATATTCCTAACCACCGTGATTACGTATCTAGCCTGAACTCAAATTTCAAACTCCTATTCCCCTTTCTGTCTTCTCATACCTGCATGCACACCTCTAGAGACCCATGGATGGAACACTACTGCCGTAGTTACTGTAATATAAAAGCAACAGGGGATAATCAGTATTGGAAACACTGTTAAAAGGCTGAGGTTCTACCTATCATGAAGCTTGGACAGTGAGACAGAGGAGTTCATATTATAATGGACTTGTATAATTAATTATGCATCTTATGTAATTGATTTTAGTCAGGAGACATGCTCGATCAACTGAAGTTTGGAGTAAAGAATATGCTTGGT